GTCTGACTCTCGGGTGGTCTTCTTGGTGGGGGTCCTGTGACGGGGGGGGGGGGGGGGGGGGGGGGTGGGGTACGGGGCCAACAACATATTAGTGGGGGCTCCTCCAGGATACCCTGTAGGGTGCGAGTCAGTTTGGTTTTTGACCCGAACTGACCAGGAGGGCCTCCTAACCGAGGCTCAACCCGCCCATTTTGAACTTGGGTCTGCTCCTTCTGTTCATCCACAGAAGGCAGTAGACCAACTTGGGAGATGCCATCTTGTAAGTTTTTTAAATATCAGGCCTGTGTGTGTTTTGTTTTTCTATTACCTCTTGTTTTGTGGACTGAATGACTGATGAGACTGAAAGCCATGGGCAATGCCCTATCCAGCCCCTAGATTTAACCCTGAAGACACAGGGTGAAGAGAAAGAAGACTAGGTGGGGGTCCTGCGATGGGGGGGGGTACAAAAAAGCTATCTGTCTAACTGATTCCCTTTTTGGATTTTTGGGTGGGAAAAAAAACCAGGCCATTGAAGTGGGGGGTGAGGGGGAACTGGAACTGCTCCTATTGCATTTACAAGACAATGAATGTTACTTCTTTTACAAAGGAGCTGGTTGGGAGGCTTATGCTCACACCCATCTGTGTCAGCCACACAGGTTCACAGAGGGAACAAGGAGTAGGATGAGCCAGGAGAGCAAAGAAAGCCTGACTCTATCCTCTGACCACTTCCCATTGCATTGCAATTGTCCAAGTTTCTGAGAGTATGGTACCGTGGCCAGATTGATTGCAATAAAAATCATTTGGGCTTCATGGAAGAGTATCTAAAAAGCATAGAAGATATCCCAAGGGAGTCTTGGCTTGAGAGAGATGGATAGGACCCCATTGGAATAAGAAACGCAAGGAGTCTGGTGAATGTGTAGAGGGAGAAGTCCATGAGAACATAGAGGCATCGGCGGAGTCCGTGAGGATGTAGAAGGGAAGAGTCCAGGAGGACATAGAGGGTGACGTCAACGGGTAGACAGTGGCCCATTCTACCCAAGGTCTCCCGGGTTGAGAGTCAAATCCTCGATTCAGACATCCCAAAATGAGAAGAGACTAGCCAAAAGGCATAGGGGATCCTGCTGGCATGGTGCCATGTCAAAAGAGAGATAGACAAACAGATGGCCTGTAGGTAGGCACCATCACTAGACATAGACAGGAGACATTGTGGTGGATGCACAGCCAGCATTGGTAAAGGCAAGGGATCTGATGGGGTTCCTTTGGCAGTTTAGGTTCATGGAAAGGTGGCCAGGTGGTGGGTAGACCTTTGGAAAGAGAAGTGGAGGGGTTCCAGGGACTCTTGACACTATCCCCTTTCCAGTTTCAGCACCAGCTGTAAGGGTTGGCAAAAGGAGACCACTACATGATTCAGGCAGAAAAGTGTTTAGTGGGGAGAGCCAAATTGCTGGGTCATAGGTGTAGGGTGTACTGTGTAGTAGCTTGACTGATGGGGGGAAAGGGAGCATTTATATATAGGAGAGGGTAAGAAGGAGCGTGACTACAGTGTATAAGGAAGTGACTGCCCACTGCCCCCAGGTGGTCCAGTACCTAGGTTACAGTTGCTGGGCGGGAGCTTCTGGGGGGGGCCACTTGCAGTTTTGCATGAAGAGAGTACAAGGAGGAAGGGATCTAACTGGGGTTTGTTAGAAAACAAAGGGAAGGAGCAAACCTAACACATACAGATGTACAGGTAAAACCATTGAGCTTCCTGAAACAAGCCTATACTTATATGTCTGGAATATTCTGTTGCTGTCACAAGCCACAAATTTGGCGTTTTCTATTGGTTTGGTTTTTGTGCTGTTCTTGGGTCTTGGACTCAAAGCTTAGGTGCTTTACCTGACCTTTTGTGCTCAAGGCTAGCATTCTACCACTTGAACCACAGCTCCATTTATGGCTTTTTGGTCATTAACTACCAGGGCCTGGCTGGTTTGTTTTTGGCCAGGAATGGGTCACACCACTAGTTCCTGAAATCTTGGGAATAGTGGTTCAAAGCTAGCCCAGGCAGAAAAGGTTTTAGACTTTAATACCAATTAACCATCAAAAAGTCAGCTGGAAGTGTGGCTGATTTATTACAGTACTCTCCTGGCAAGCACATTGATCAGCATGAGGCCCTGAGTAGAAAATTCCACTACTGGTACACAAGCACATGTACACACACACACACACACACACACACACACACACTGGTACACAAGCACATGTACACACACACACACACACACACACACACCTTTATTTAAACCCGGAAAAGGCCTTTTAGGTATTTATAACATCAATCACTGCCCTAGACTTGTTGAATTTTCACTTTGAAAATAAACATAGATTTATTGAATTTTGAGTCTTACTTGAGGTTTTCTAGGCAGGCTAGATGAAATGATTTCTCAGGCCTTATACAGCCCAGACATTTCCTACCCCTGTGGTAAGACTTGTGGCAAGACTTGCCTACAAGTGGGCAAGCACTCATGAGATGTTTTTGGTTTTTTTGTTTGTGTGTGTGTGTGTGTGTGTGTGTGTGTTCTGGGGCTTGAACTCTGGGCCTGGGTGCTGTCCCTCAGCTCTTCAGCTCAAGGCTAGCACTCTACCACTTGAACCACAGCATCAACTTCATTTTCTGGTGGTTTATTGGTAATAAGAGTTTCACAGACTTTACTGCCCAGGCTGGCTTTGAACTACAATCCTCAGATCTCAGCCTCCTGAGTGGCTAGGATTACAGGCGTGAGCCACCAGCACTCAGCATTAGATGTCTTTTTAAACTATACTCAATACCCAGCAGTATGAGTGGGAGGAAAAAATATTCTTGGTCCCTGTGGTCTTACCTGCTCCATGGCTGTAGTTCTTTTGGGCAGCTCAGCCTCAAAAAGAATGCTCTATTGGTTAAAGCCATATCCTTTCCTGTTTTTCCTACTTTTGAGTGTTCCAAATTTAGCAATAAATAAAACAGGGTGGTTTGTTGGAATGGCTAAAGCCAGACTCTCAGTGGCACTGAGGGAACTAATTTCAGCTCATTCTGGAGGCATCCTTTACCCAGAAGAAATTCAGTCAGCCCTACATATCCTACAGAAGTCCCCAACAGATAAAAAAATGTAGTTATACTGGGTTACTTGAACCTTTATAGTCTTTTGTTGTTTTGTGATTCGCTAAACAATGCAGTGTGACAGCTGTTCACATAGCATCTCTGTTTCATGGGATATCAGGAGGAGTTCAGAAATTATATGTGTATAGGCTATGCAAATACTGAACAATTTTACTAACAGATTAGAACATATGAGGACTTTGGTATCCCAACAGGATGGGGACTTGTCTGAATCAATTCCTACTAGACACTGAGGGACCACTGTGTATGACTTTTAGTCTTTTTACTGCTGTGTAATGGTTCACAATCTGTTTTCATGATCAGATTTGGTTTCTAATTACCCAGTTGAAGGCCAGAGGATTTGTTTATTTCCTATAAGTGACCAGGGACAAGTAACTAGGGGATGCTGGGAAGGTGGCTCAGTGGTAGAGCACTTGCTTTGCATGCATGAGGCCCTGGGTTTGATTCCTCAGCACCACATAAGCAAAAAGAAAAAAGCCGGAAGTGGCGCTGTGGATCAAGTGATAGAGCGCTAGCCTTGAGCTGAAGAGCTGAGGGACAGCACCCAGGCCCAGAGTTCAGGCCCCATGACCAGACCCAAAAAAAACAAAAACAAAAACAAAAAAAAAACCCACCAAAGTATCTAGGGGAAAAATAACTATCATACACAAGTCAATCCACTTTATTTCCTATATTTCATAAGGTTTGACTCATCATTAGCTGGTCTTGACATTATGGCCTTCATGTACCTTAGTTGTTTATTTAATAATTTTGCTCTTTCTGTCATTTTTCTTTTCTTTGGGGGGGGGGTCCAGTCGTGGGGCCTGAACTCTGGGCCTGGCCGCTGTCCCTCAGCTCTTCAGCTCAAGGCTAGCACTCTACCACTTGAGCCACAGCGCCACTGCCGGCTTTTTTCTTTTTGCTTATGTGGTGCTGAGGAATTGAACCCAGGGTCTCAGGCATGTGAGGCAAGCGCTCTACCACTGAGCCACCTTCCCAGCCCATGTCATTTTTCTTATAAACATTTTCTTTGTAGTTTTTCTTTTCTTCTCTTGTATTTATTTATTTTTTGCTAGTCTTGGGTCTTGAACTCAGTGCCTGGGTGCTGCCCCTGAACCTCTTTGTGCTAAAGGCAGGGCCTTACCATTTGAGCTATAATGCCACCTCCAGATTTTTCTAAGTATTTTATTGGAGATAAGAGTCTCACAGACTTTCTTGCCTTGGCTGGCTTCAAACTACAATCCTCAGATCGCAGCCTCCAGAGCAGCTAAGATTACAGGCATGAGCCAACAGTACCCAGCCCCCTGTACATGTTTGTACTTCTAATTCAGCACACATCAGTGGATGAATGCTTATGTCATATGTGTTTAAATTTATCAGATAATTACTTGTGCAGCCCATAGAAGGTATATATTTTTTTAAATTGTTAATGCAAATGTTAAGTTAGAGCAAAGTAAAATAAATTGATATTGCCTTAAAAGTAGCTTTATTATCCAGATGCCAGTGGCTCATACCTATGGACCCAGCTACTCAGAAGGCTGCAATCTGAGTATTGCAGTTCAAAGCCAGCTGGGGCAGAAAACTCCATAACACTTCTATCTCCTATTAACCAACAAAGGCCAGAAATGAAGCTGTGGCTCAAGTGGCAGAGCATAGCTGTGAGCAAAAAATTTCAGGGACAGCACCTAGGCCCTGAATTCATGCTCCTCAAAACCAAATTGGTTTATTTAAACTAATGACACTATATTATTGGTTGAATAAAGGGTGAAAACCTCCATGACAATAATCTTTTGAGCTTGTGTCCCTTGTGTATGTGTGCTTACTTGTTCAAAATTAGGCAACATAAAACCTCTAAATGGTAGCAATTTAATTTTGACTAGCTTGCATCATATAATTTCTTTCCTTTTAGTGTGGCTGTACTCCATGGAATAAAAGAAGGTCTACAGAAAGCTATGTCAGACCATACAATAAAAGCCATTGTAATTTCTGGATCCGGTGGAAAATTCTCTGCAGGTAACTAACCCTTTCCCACTGTCTCTAAGATACAGGCATAGACTTTGATTAGTTGTGTACTAGGTGTCTCGTGCATGAGAACTTAGCATAACAGATATGGACACGAGAGTGGGAGTGAGAAACATGGTGGGTGATTAGACAGGTCTCTCCCAAGACACCTAAAGTTTAGTTTGGCTTTTGCAGGACATTGAAATCTGGGCTTGATGGCTGTGCTTCCAACGTTTTTGTGTGTGTTATTTGTGAGATTAAAGGAGATAATCTCACCTGAGCATCCCTGTAAGACTTTAATGTTTAATTCTCAGAATCTTAAAGTAGAGTTCAGTGTCCTTCTGAGGGGCACCCATCTCAGAAGTGGGTAACCATGCCATGCTACATTGGGTCATTGTGTGTAAATTAAAAGATACAGCAGGAGTATCTGAAGTGGTGATTCATTGAGTAAGGTTTTACAGTGTCTTTCTTTTTGCTGAATGAATGTATTAAACCCTTTAATAACTCTCGCATGGAAATGGATGCCTAGTGAATTGGGCCATACCAGAGGTATTTGAGGTATGTTAATGGTAACCTGAAAAATCACAGATGTTGGCTTCATGAATATAAATCAATGTAAATTAACTTATTATTTCAAATGCAAAATGTGGTATATTTATACACTTTATTATACACTTTATATTTTAACTCTCACTAGCTCCTACAATCCTCCCATTTTCAAATAAGAAAGATTAAAATAAAGTGCCATGGTTACCCTGCTCTGAAATGGCTTTCTGACTATTTGGAAACTTAATTTTGAGGCCTAAGATGGTGATGATATTGAGAGATGAACTGAGGCACTGGAAATATGGAGAAACTGATTTTTTTTTTCTGGCACTACACCATACTCGAACTTGGAACCTGACACTTTCAGTATTGGCTAGTATTCCATCAATTGAGGCATGCTTCCAACCCTGAATGTTTTTGTTTTTTTTTCAGTTGATCGTGGGGCCTGAATTCTGGGCCTGGGCGCTGTCCCTCAGCTTTTCAGCTCAAGGCTAACACTCTACCACTGGAGCCACAGCGCCACTTCCAGCTTTTTCTGCTTATATGGTGCTGATGAATCAAACCCAGGTCCTCATGCATGAAAGACAAGCACTCTACCACTGAGCCACCTTCCCAGCCCCAACCCTGAAATTTTTTTATCAAGTAGTAGAGAAAATGTAATAAGAGTTCGTGTCACAGGAAAAAAGCATCATTCTAGAAAAAACATTAGTAATGATCACATTTGACTTAGTGGGCTTATCTGGAACAATAAACTCACTAACTGGAAAATACACATTCTTTTCAAACACATCTAAAGAGTTTAGAAAAGTTAACCAGTACTGGACTATCCACCCTTGTCTCAATAATTTTCACTTAGAATAATATTCTCTGAAAACAATGTGCCTAAAGCTGGAAATTAATAACAAAATTACAAGTAGAAACTTGCTTACATTTATGTTAACTTCATTTCTAATCTCTAAATCAAGTGAAAAATCACTATGGAGTTTAGGAAATATAAAACCTGAGAGATGTAGCTGAAGTAAAAGCAGAAAATTTAGATTTCACCTACTATATGAGAAAGGTAAAAGATAAGCCAGCCACTGGTGGCTCACGTCTTTAATACTAGCTACTAGGAGGCTGAGAGTTGAGGATCGTGGTTCAAAGCCAGCCCAGACAGGAATGTCCCTAGGGGTCTTATCTCCAGTTAACCACCAGAAAATTGAAAGTGGTGCTATGTCTCAAGTGGAAGAGCACTTGCCTTGAGCTGAAGAGCTCAGGGAGAGACCCAGGCCCAGAGTTCAAGCCCTATGACCAACAACAACAAAAAAAAAGAAAGGTAAAAGATAATGACAATGGGTGCAGCACCATATGATGCAGTTAACAAAACACATTGGAAAATAGACAAATATAGTAAATTAAGGAAATAATGAGGAAAGAAATACTTAAAAATACTAATGTGAATCAAAAGGATCAATGATGTCAAATATTGGTTCTTAAGATCTCTGAAGAGGTTAAAAAAATGGAAGGCACAATAATGTACCCAGATTTCCAACAAAGTGAATGTTTTACAAGGAATGATCAGAAAGCTAACACTGTAGATGCTGTCATCAAGAAAAAGGATAATGGAAACACTATGAAGGAGGAGACAAATGTAGCTCTTCTAAAATAATACAAGGAGAAATTAAACTCCACATATGTCTGTAAAAATGCAATCGGTAATCAAAAATATCTCTCAGGAAATTTCAGGGCCAAATGGCTTCACTGACAAGCAGTATTATAAAGTGAAGGAAAATTTTGCACAAATGTTCTAGAGAATTAAAACAGAGAAGAGACTTGCCTGGACTATAATTCCCAGTATTTCATAGAATAAGGCAGTAGGATTGTGAATTCCAGGCTGCATTCCCTCTCTTCACTCTATAATATGACCCCTTTCAAGTATGGGACAGAGAGGAAGAGACAGACCCTTTCTATATTAAATTTCTATGTGAAATTTCCACAAATTGAGTGTTTTCATATGGCAGAAATCTATTGTTTTGTAGTTCTGAAGGCAGAAGTTTGTATTCCACTCTTCCCCAAGGCATTTGGAAGAATTCTTTCCCTCTTCTTGGGGTGATTGCAATCCGTGGCCTGTCAGTACCTGACTCCAGTCTCTGCTTCTGTCTTCACATGGCCTTTTCCCTATGGCTCCATCTAAATTTCCTGATGCTACATAGACCCATCTCCTTTCCAATATGACCTCTTTTTTTTTTGTTTTTGGTGGTGGTGGTGGGGGCAGTTGTGGGGCTTAAACTCAGGACCTGGGCACTGTCTCTGAGCTCTTTTGCTCAAGGCTAGCACTCTACCACTTTGGGCTATAGTGATACTTCTGATTTTCTGGTGGTTAACTGGAGATAAGAATCTCATGGACTTTCCTAACTAGGCTCCCTTTGAACCGTGATACTCAGATCTCAGCCGCCTGAGTGTGTCTCATTCTATTGAGATTAAACAGAATTTTCATGGTTATTTCAATAGATTCAGGAAAATATATTTCACAGCATTTGACATGACTTTAAAATGTAATTGATTAGTTAACAGATACAGGACTGAACATTGTAGTTAGACTAACCATACCTATTTTTTTTCCCAAAAACCTACTTGAAAGAAGTATTAAATTGAAAGCATTCCTTAAGAGAAAAGAAGATGAGAAGACAGATTACAATCACCAGATTTCTATTTCACATTGGATTTGAGGCCCTACCTTGTCTAGTAAGTTAGAAAGCGAAGTTAAAGTAAGTTAAAGGTCTGAAGATTGAAAAGGAAGATAAAACATCCTTATTCACATGATGTCTTGTTTGTATAAAAAGAAAATCTATCAGAAATTTACTAGAACTAAGAGTCTAGTATTTTGGGCTGATGTGAAATCCACATTAAAAAATAATGGAATTTCTATGTCCTGAAATCATTACACTTGAAGTCACACTAGGAGTGATTTCATTACTCAGGATGGGCAGGAGCTGGAGCTCCAAAGCCAGCCTAGGCTATATAGTGAGACTCTGTTTCAAAAACACAAGCAATAGAAAAACTGAAATCACCGTATTCTTATTTGTACCTTAGTTTCTGACAATTGGGGATAATAATCTTCATTATATGTGGTAAGTACAGTATTAGGCTTTGTATGAGGGCCATACATGGTTGCACAGGCCTATATTCTCAGCACTTAAGATACCGAGGAAAGGATTGTGGGTTTGATAACAGCCTTCCACATAGCAAGGCCTTATCTCAAAAAAGAAAGAAAAGGGGAAGGGAAGGGAGAATGAAAAGGAAAAGAGAAAGAGAAAAGGGAGTGAATATAAGAAAAAGAAAAAAAACAGGTTTTGTAGTCAAACTGGCTGATTGAAACACTTATTCTGTGAATTATTAACCATATGTCTTAATGAATTAGTTAACATCTTAAAGCCGTTAACATAGTTTTATGGAAATTAAATGAAAAAATATATGGAACTCCAGTGCCTGTTGTACTTATTCAATAAATGTTCATTACTGTTAGTCATGAAAAACCATTTTATTGTAAAACTTCTGGAACAATAGGCCTAAGGATCCAACTGGAGCTGATTTTATTTTCCTAGAAGAAAAAAAAAGTAAAACAACAGAAAACAAGTCCTGGGCTACAGACTTAAATATATAGATTGGTGAGAATTTGTTTTTAAAAAAGATCATCTCAGATTGATGCTAGATAGGAACATGTAGTAAAAAGAAAAAGGAAAGTAGATAAATAAGCCAAATATAAAATACTTAATTTTTAAACTTGTACAAAGCTTACTGTTATTAAAGGATATATAATGAGCTGGGTACTGGTGCTCACACCTGCAATTCTAGCTAATCAAGGAACTTTAGATCAGGAGGGTCATAATTTAAAAGTAGTTGAGGCAGACAGGACTCCATCTTTAAAATAAGGAGCAAAAAGCTGGGCTAAAGGCATTAGAATGCCAGCCAAGCAAGCTTGAGGTCCTGAGTTCAAATTCCAGGAACTAAATATGTATGTTTATTTGTTTCAGGGAAATGATTACTATATAAAGGTCATATGAAAACAGGAAAATATGAAATTTTTCATTAGCTTCTCAAAGTTTAAATATAAAGTAAACTTTTATTTTGTTCTCATGTCAGTCATTTAATATATGTATTGAAGCAAAAAGATTCAATAACTAATTCAAAACCAAAAATGATATATATATATATGTATATATTTATATATATATATAAATACAAAAAACTTCATCCAAATCTTCAGGTACTCTCTCTGTGATATCGATACTAATGTGATTGTCATATTTTATGATATTATGTATGTTTTGAATTTTTCCATACTGCCTGTTTGTTTGTTTGTTTATTTATATATCTTTGTGGAGGGGTCTGGGATCCTAAAGGTTGAACTCACGAACTGGATGATGTCCCTGAGCTTTTGTGCTCAACGCTAGTGCTCTACCATTTAAGCCATAGGTCCACTTTTAGCTTTTTGGTCATTAGTTAGAGATAAGAGTCTCATGGACTTTGCTACCTACACTGGCTTCACACCATGATCCTCAGATCTCAGCCTTGTGAGTAGCTAGGATTACAGGCACACAGCTGCCTGTCTTATTTTTGTAAGAAATTTTGTTACTTACTCATAAAAGATCTACAATCAATCTTGGCTGGTTATATAACATATCACTCATAACTACATATGCATTTTACCTTGTAGTTTTGTATTGTAATTACTTATGCTCTTAAGAAAGCTACATAGTGAAATTGAGTGAATTGGGATGATAAAGTCATCAAAACAATGACTCGATCTCAGAATGATGGTCTTAATCAAAGAACCCTATTCTTCTTTCCTAGACTTTTAAATTCCCTACTATTAGAGTTGCTCTTTATCCTAAGAATTCACAGATCTTATGGGGCTGGGAAGGTGGTTCAGTGGTAGAGTGCTTGCCTTACAAGCATGAGGTCCTGGGTTCGATTCCTCAGCACCACATAAGCAGAAGAAGCCTGAAGTGGTGATGTGGCTCAAATGGTAGAGGGCTAGCCTTGAGCTGAAGAGCTGAGGGACAGCGCCCAGGCCCAGAGTTCAAGCCCCACAACCAACAAAAAAAGAAAAGAAAAAAAGAAGGCTGTAGGATTCATGGTAAAATTTGAAGAGTATTCTTATATTTAATCCTACATTTCCCAGGGCATGTCTACATCTATGGATGGAAGTGTCTCCTGGGGTCAAGGGTAAAACAGGCTGGGGTGGGGTGGGAAATTGACAGAGGTAGGAAGGACAAATGGAGAGAGTGAATGAAGATGAATATGGATGAAGTACTTTATTTCCATTTATGAAGACAGAACAATGAAATCAGGGGAGGTTGGAGGTAATGAAGACTGATGGAAGAAATCAGTTTTATGGGGTACATTGTGTGTATATGGAAATGCTACAGTAAGCCCCTCTTGTAAACTAATATCTGATCATAAGAAATCTTTAAAGAAAAAGAAAAAAGTGATCAGTTCTCTTACTGTGAATAGAGTTCAAACCAGAAAACTCTCCTTTTGTGTTTGTGTTCTTCAGGTGCTGATATCCGTAACTTCAGCAATCCTGGCTACTCTGGCATCAGATTGGGAAGTGTAGTAGATGAACTACAGAGAACTAAGAAGCCTGTGGTGGCAGCTATTGAAGGCGTGGCTTTAGGAGGGGGACTGGAGCTGGCCTTGGGCTGTCACTATAGAGTTGCACATGCAGAGGTAACCACTGAGGTGCATGTAGGGTTGGTTTGGGGATTTTTCTTAGAGAAGTATTGTCATAAAGATCAATCAGAGGTGATAGTTTTAGTGGTAGTTTGCTGGCTAACAAGTCTCAGATATGTCCAGCACTGGTGCTAGGCTATGATATAATAGGGCAGAGCTTGTTCAGATGTAGAGGTTGGTAAGAAGACTGCTCTGAGCTCTGTCTCTGTATCTGTGTCTCTTTCTACCTCTCTCCTCTCCCCTCTCCAACACTGTTTCTTTCTCTCTCTTTCTCTCAGCTTGGGAATCACTTTTATGTCATGTGCCACTTGGATATTTCTAACACTACTCATGGGCCACACAAAACTATTAATATAAGCAGATCAGCTGTGAGCAGCCAGCAAGAAGCATGTGTGTTTGTCCTGGAATGTACCAAGTGCTTTGAGGGGCACTTATATGATGACACTTATATTAAGGAATGAATGCATTCTCACCCCCTCCCCCCTGCATAGATCTGGAATTTCTTCATGAGCCATTATTTTGTTTCTTTGGGGGGGGGTGATCCGGTCGTGGGACCAGAACTCTGGGCCTGGGCGCTGTCCCTCAGCTCTTCAGCTCAAGGCTAGCACTCTACCACTTGAGCCACAGCGCCACTTCCGGCTTTTTTCTTTTTGCTTATGTGGTGCTAGGAATTGAACCCAGGGCCTCATGCATGCAAGGCAAGTGCTCTACCACTGAGCCACCTTCCCAGCCCCATGAGCCACTATTTTCTTCTGGTCTTCTTAGACAACATCTTTCCATTAAGGTTTTCTTTTCTTTTGACATTGTTTTTTTTTGGGGGGGCGGGGTCCGGTCGTGGGGCCTGAACTCTGGGTCTGGGCGCTGTCCCTCAGCTCTTCAGCTCAAGGCTAGCACTCTACCACTTGAGTCACAGCGCCACTTCCGGGTTTTTTCTTTTTCTGCTTATGTGGTGCTGAGGAATCGAACCCAGGGCCTCAGGCATGCAAGGCAAGCGCTCTACCACTGAGCCAACTTCCCAGCCCTTGACATTGTTTTTTTAAAAAAACAATATTTGGGATTTTATTATATTTAGTTTATAGTGCTATGTGATTCTTTTTCTGCCAATTTCTTGTGTGTGTGTGTGTGTGTGTGTGTGTGTGTGTGTGTGTGTATGCGCGCATGCGCGCATGCACGTGTATACCAATGGGCATGTGTGAACTGGAATGTAGGTGCTAGTATTAGTGTTTGTACTCAGGACCTAGGTGCTGTTCCTGACCTTTTTTTGTTTAAAGCTAGTACTCTTCTGCTTGAGCCATACCTCTATTTCTGACTGTTTACTTGTTAGAGCTTAAGGACTTTCCTGGTTGGGCTCAATTCACAGATCTCAGCATACTGAGTGGCTAGGATTATAGGTATGAACCATTAAGGCCAGGCCCACCTCTGCCTTTTAATTTGACAGTTTAGCATACAAGTGTATTTGGTATATTTACAGAGATAGAAAAACTGAGTTCTTCCCTCTTACTGTTTGTTTTCTGTGTTGCGTATCTTCTTCCTCAGGTACTCCATTACTACTTCTATTTGTCTTAAGGAGATATATATTCTAGTGGACCCACTAATCCTCTTGTAGTCTTTTAATATATACATATATATTACACACACACACACACACACATATTTGCCTAGAGGTCATGACCTTGGTAATTGTGACCCATGTCTTAATTTATAAGAATATGGCTCTGGTGAATACAAGTTAATTTCAATAGTATATAAAAACTAGTCCTTTATATTTCTGTTTTCTGCCCCTTTAAGGAAACATTTATCAAATATAGTAGGTTTTTTTTAAGTCTTTAGTTATTTTTTCAGATAGTGGCTCACATTTAGGCACCATTGCCCTCGTATTACCGGAGTATACCACCACCACACACAGCTTATTTGTTGAGATGAGTTAGTCCCTGCAAAAGTGTTTTTTTTTTGCCAGTCCTGGAGCTTGAATTCAGGACCAGGGCACTGTCCCTGAGCCTCTTTTGTTCACAGCTAGCACTCTACCACTTGAACCACGGTGCCATTTTCTGCTTTTTCTGTTTATGTGGGGCTAGGGAATTGAAACCAGGGCTTCATGCATGTTAGACAAGCACTCTACCACTAAGCCACAGTCCTAATCTCTTCCTCTAATTTTTTGCCTTGGCTGCCTTGGAACTGCAGTCTCTCAGTCTCTACCTTCCAAGTTGAGATGACAGTCATGAGTCTCTGGGTTAGAACTTAGTGCCTAGGACATACTAGGGAGGGGGTTTACCACTTAAACCATATACCCAGCTCTTTTTGCTTTTGTTATTTTTTAAGAATGTGATCTTATATTTATGCCCAAGAGGCCTGAATCACCATCCTAGTTATACTCCTCATAAAAATGTGAGCCACCACAGAAAGGAACCTTACTTCATTGTTGGTGGGAATGTAAACTTGTTCAACCACTTTGGAAAGCAGTATGGAGGTTCCTCAAAAGACTTCACATAGAACTCCCCTATGACCCAGCAATCCCACTTTTGGGCATTTACCCAAATGTTTACAAACAAGACCACACTAAAGCTACCAGCACAACTATGTTTATTGCAGCATTATTTACCATAGCTAAGATATGGAACCAATCCAGATGCCCCTCAGTAGATGAATGGATCAAGAAAATGTGGTATATATACACAGTGGAATTCTATGCCTCCATCAGAAAGAATGACATTGCCCCATTTGTTAGGAAATGGAAAAACTTGGAAAAAATTATATTAAGTGAAGTAAGCCAGGCCCAAAGAAACATAGGTCCCATGGTTTCCCTTATTTGTAATATCTAGTATATGTATGAGTCCAGCGGAAAAGGTCAGATAATGTGATGTCAGGAAAATGAACCGTTAGATGTGTACTTTAATGTTTTTTTCTTTCATGCATGTGTTTCTAACGCATTTATAAGATTATCTCTTTGTTGCTTTGTATGTCCCTCCCCCACAGTATAACCCCTGCTTTCACTATATTTGATGTCAGTATAACTTGTGGAGGAGATGGGGAAAAACCAGTTGTTTAAGGATACAGGTGGACCTGTTGCAACAATGAGAAGTACAAGTTGTCATGTCCAAAACGAGCTTTACAACGTCGGTGCGGGGGGGGGGGGGGGAAGGGGAGGAAGGAGAAGGATTGGGATTGGGGGGGAGGGGGGAGGCTGGGAAGGGATGTGAAGGGTAAACAAAGGAGGAGGCAGCAATGCTTGGTAAGAAATGTACGCATTATCCTGCCCATGTAATTGTAACTCCTCTGTACAGCATGTTCACAAATAAAATTAAAAGAAAAAAAAGAAAAACAATCAGTAAAGACTTACATGCTACCAAAAAAAATGTGAGCCACCATAGCCATGATAATGAGCTATATGATTTTTCAGCATACAGATTAGGCAGGCTGTGTCTCCCTAATCCGAACACCCAAAATCCTAAATGCTCCAAAATCCAAATCTTCTGAAGGACACCACAAGTGGTGAAGCACACCTACTTCTGTGATGGGTCACATTTAAAAAGCAGGCATACTCAAACTCCTATATGAAATTACCTCTAGGCTATGGGTATAAAGCTGATATGGAGCATAAATGAATTGTCTTTAGGCTTGCATCCTTTCCCAGGATAATTTCATTGAGCGTGTACATTAAATAACATTAAATAAAAACCAAAACTCTAAAATTAGAATCATTTCTGAGCTCAAGCATTTCATATTAATGCTTCACCTATTCCATAATTTAATCATTTGCTTATCATTTAAATTTTTTGTAAAAGCTCATGTCAACACATGTATATCCTAAGTTCACTTTTCCTATGTCCCTTTCTCTATGACCTTCTACAGAGTGAGTGGAGATGTGCACAACTAGCAGCATATGTGTGCCTTTGGAGGAAAAACAATGGGAACAGGGGTGATTGATTGTTAGGAAAACTTTTGTAAAATAAGCTTCAAATACCCAAAGTATGTGCAAACTATTTGTATAACAGTCAGGGTACCTAGCTGCTACTGCTGCTATTCCTCCTCCTTTTCCCCCTCATCCTCTTCCTCCTTTTGGGACTGTAAATGGTGGGCAGAGCCTCATCCACTTTTCACTGGGCAGAGACGGCAGTGTGGTAAGGCCTCAAGGTCACGCTCCTATCTGGACTAAGGTTGCTGCCTAGGTTTTCATGTACACTTACATCTTTATTGTGACAAAATATACCTATGTAACGTGCCTCATTCTGTGGCATGCAGTTCTATTCACTGAAATGCATGCCCACAGTCAATTTTAAACAGCTGATCGTTCCAGAGGAATGTCAACTCCTTCAATGGGAACCTTCCATCCTCTTCTCCTCCAGTCCTAGACTACCAGGAGACCTTTTCCCTATCACCCGATTGGCCTGTTCCCAGTAATTTATTTAGATGGACCATATCATATGGGGTCTTCTGGGACTGCCTGCTTTCACTTAGCATGTTTTCTAGGTTCGTCCATAATGAATCATTATTCAGTTCATTGTTCCAGTCTATGGCTCTGTCTTTCATTCTAAGGATATACATAGTTTCTTTATCCTTTCGCCAGTTGATGGTCATTTGAGATTCTTCCTACTGTTTTGTACTGTTGCTGCACATGTGCTTTTGCTGGGTATATATTTTCCTTGTTCTCGGTTTATACTTGACCATAGCTTTGGTGGACGGTAGAGTAACCCACTCTGTGTTTACCCTTTGAAGGACTGCCAAGTCATTCTCCAAATTGTTTGCATTATTAAGCATTCCCACCAGCAATGTGGGAATGTGGGAATGCAATGTGTAAGGATTTTGTCTTCATATCCTCTCAAACACCTGTGATTGTCTCTTTAAAATACATATTTATTACAGTGCATTTGAAATTGTATCACAGGTAGTTTAAATTTGCATTCTCCTTTTTTCTTTTTTTTTTTTTGTCGGTCATGGGGCTTGAACTCTGGGCTTGGGCGCTGTCCCTCAGTTCTTCATCTCAAGGCGAGTGCTGTACCGCTTGAGCCATAGCACCACTTCCGGATTTCTAGTGGTTTATTGGAGATAAGAGTCTCACAGACTTTCCTGCCCGGACTGGCTTTGACCCATGATCCTCAGATCTCAGCCTCCTGAATAGCTAGGATTACAGGTGTGAGGCACCATGCATTCTTCTTTTATCTAATGATATTTCATGTGCTCATTGGTGATTCATACCCCATTTTTATAGAGACTTGTCTATTTAGATCCTTTGCCCATTTTTAATGATTAACATTTCATTGTTGAGTTGTAAAAGTTCTTTATGTACACCTGGTACAAGTCCTATATAAAACTTATAATCTGGGCTGGGAAAGTGGCTCAGTGGTAGAACGCTTGCCTTGCATGCATGAGGCCCTGGGTTCCATTCCCCAGCACCACATAAGCAAAAAGAAAAAAGCTGGAAGTGGTGCTATGGCTCAAGTGGTAGAGCGCTAGCCTTGAGCTGAAGAGCTGAGGGACAGCGCCCAGGCCCAGAGTTCAGGCCCCATGACTGGACCCCAACCCCCCCCAAAAAAAACAAACTTATAATCTGTCAATATTCTGCCCCATTTTCTGGGTTTCTTCTTCACTTTCTTGTGCTTTCTGGCTCCTGCAGTGACTTGAATAAGTTGTTTGTAAGTTCTAATTTTGTTGTCTGACACAGTCAAGTTAGACTAAAGAGAATCAAGTTGCCAGAAGCTGGGGATGTGTTTGAGAATGAACACTGAGCAAAGCCTTGATTATTCTGTTCATCAAAGAATAGGACATACACTGATGTGCGCTGTGGGAAGTCAGGCTGAGTTCAATGAAACATGTTCTGAGGTATAGGAGATCCTGGGAGGTGCTTGTCTTCACTGTGAACATGTGATCTCATTGTAATGGGCTTTCTACTTCAATGTCTGATAGACTGAGATTGGTTTCCCAGAAGTCACTCTGGGAGTCCTTCCTGCTGCAAGAGGAACCCAGCTTCTCCCCAGACTTATTGGACTTCCTGCTGCACTTGACTTGATAACCTCAGGTCAGTATACACTTTGGGCACATGTCTAGATCAATGTGAGGAAGGTCCCAGCACCTAGAAGCACCCTGGGTTGGCCCCTTCCTACTCACATAACAGTAGGGGTGCTTTAACTTCTTTCTTTTTAATTTTATTTTCTTGCCCATAAAATAGAAACAGTACCTTCTCTGAGCACTTTCCAGATTTCAAGTTTCAAGATCCCATATGCAAGCCTTTTTTAACACAAGTAAAAATCAGAACTTACTAAAATACTCACTTCCCAAGTATTAAGATATGAGCTATAGTGAGGCGAGGGTGGCTCATGCCTGTAATCCTAACTGTTCAGAAGTCTGAGTTCTGAGGATCTAGGTTCAAAGCCATGCCTGAAAGGAAAGTCCTTAAGACTCTTATTTCCAATTTCCCAATAAAACTTGAAGTGGAGTTATGACTCAAGTGGTAGAATGTGAGCCTTGAACAAAAAGCTTGGGGTCGTTCCCAGGTCCTGAGTTTGAGCCCTAGAACAGGCAATTAAAAAATGGTTACTAGCTACATACACACATCTTTTATTTTTGCTGGTCTCCCCCATTTATACTACATAATTTTGATTGTATTTTATATAATGTTACCTTAATTGATACTTTGCCAACTGTTTTAGTGTGGGGACTCTTTAAAATCAGCTGCAGTCTGTGGTGTACAGTGTTAGTACTACTTTTATTATCTGATTCTTGAAGAGATTCGTTCTATACAAAGTGCTTCTTTAGAGATTTACAGGCTAGAAGGAGAATTTATTACTTTCACCTCATGCTCAGAATTACAGAGGCAGGCACAATTCCTCCCATTTATCAGTAAGGAAATTGTGGTTCTGGCGCCAGGCCCCACAGTCACTGTGACCATGAAAATTGAACTGCCACTGGAATCCAAGTTTTCTGCCCATGTCTGCAGTGATCTTTCTCCTGCAGTAGTGCGAGTGGTCTTCTTCGTGTTAGTACTTCGAGATAGCCTTCCAGTGTCCAAGAGAAAGCAGTGCTCTGCTTCTATCTCACATTGTTCTTTGTGTTCTTTGCTTTTGTTTTAGGAAGGCATATTTTGGCAGGTGAAGCACTCAAGATGGGCATTGTGGATAAAGTGGTGAACTCAGATGTGCTTGAAGAAGCAATCCAATTTGCCCAGCAAATTGTTGGTAAGAAGCCAATAATAGATGTATCATAGTATTGGAAACAAGCTCAGGTTGCATTGGAATGTGGCGCTCCTTAAGTATCTTCTGCATTGTCCACGTGATAGAATGTGACAGATGGTAAAGAGGAATGTACTGTCATGATATGAACTCTATTATATATTGTATAATTTAGTGAAGAAAGCATCACTGCATATCTTGGGGTTGCCAATGGTATAACAAGTGTCAATGCAATCAAATTTTATAAATGTAGAGATTGAATGACTGTGTATGTTAGTCTATGCTTAAAACGTTTCCATAAAGGATTCATAGAAAATGAAATGGCTCTCAGGGTATGGTGCTGATCATCTAGCTGAAGCATTTGAAAGGAGGGGTTTTATAGCTTGTCATTCCATGCTTTGGAATTTTTACCCTATATGTATTTCTCAAGTTAGGAAATAGAGTTGAGGGCTGGGAATGTGGCTTAGTGGTAGAGTGCTTGCCTTGCATGCATGAAACTCTGGATTTGATTCCTTAGTACCACATAAACAGAAAAGGCTGGAAGTGGCACTGTGGCGCTCGCTTTGAGCAAAAAGAAGCACAAGGATAGGGCCCAAGACCTGAGTTCAAGCCCCAGGACTAGAAAAGAAAAAGAAAAAAAAAAAGAAGTAGGGTTGAAATAGAGGAGTGATCCCATTCTTTTCAGTAAGAATTCTTTTCAGTAAGAATCATCTTTTGCCTTTAGAAGTGTATTTCGCTTGTCTTATCAAAACTTGAATAAACTTCTGCCTTAAAATACCTTCCAGGCTTAAGACACAACTAATGTGAGAGGGCCAAGGAATTAAGTCATTTATTTAAAAGTTTGTTTAATCGTTGCTTAGTCTCAGTCCTTCCTGTTTTTCTGGAGAGCGAATACCGACCTACCCACCCTTGCCTTTTACTATATAGGTACTGCTGAGTCTTTTTTTATATATATAAAAAAAATGTTATACTCTGTTTAACTTTATTTGATGGCTTGGTAAAACACAAAAGATGGAGTCTGAGGCCGGGCGCTGGTGGCTCACGCCTGTGATTACTCAGGAGGCTGAGATCTGAGGATCGCGGTTCAAAGCCAGCCCGGGCAGGAGAGACCGTGAGACTCCTATCTCCAATAAACCACCAGAAAACCGGAAGTGGCGCTGTAGCTCAAGTGGTAGAGCGCTCGCCTTGGGCTGAAGAGCTGAGGGACAGCGCCCAAGCCCAGAGTTCAAGCCCCACAACCGACAAAAAAAAAAAAAAAAAGGAAGTCTGTGAATGTTTTTGTTAGACTGGCCTGTGGCCATAATCCTCCTGATCTCAGCCTCTCAGTATGTGTCACCTTAGTAGCTGAGGTGACAAGCATGCTCATCTGTTGGTTGAGAACAGGTATTGTGAACCATGTGACCAGGCTGACCTTGAACTGTGATCCCCTTGACCTCAGCCTCCTGAACAGCTAGGAGTATAGACAGGAGCCAGCACACCTATGTCCAATAAATCAGTCTTGAAACTTGCTGACTCTCACAAATAGTTTCTTCATACCAACTACAGCTAATTCCCACCCCAGACCTGGGAAGAACAATGGTTTTCTTTCTGTCTCTATTCATTTGCCTTTTCTGGGCATTTGATATATAAATGTCAGGTATTACATGCAGTCTTTTGCATTTGGCTTCTTTTAGACTGCATGCTTTGAGCTCCTGTATATTGCCACCTGTATCAATAGTTTAGTACTTTGTACGGATGAATAGTATTCTATGGTATGGTTATTCCATGTTTTCTTTATCCATTCAGCAGGTGGTAGACATCTGCATTGTTTCTGGTTTTGTTATCATGAGTAATGTTGCTCTGAATACCTGTATACATCTATTGTACAGATATTTTATTTCTCTTAGATTTCTAGAAGTGAAAATGCTAGTTTGAACATATTAAGTTCATGTTTATTTAAGAAACTACAGTTTCCCAAAGTGAAGTACTGTTTTCCATTCTCAGAAGTAATATAGGAGGTTTCTAGTTTCTCTAGTGCTTGGTATTTCTGTCTTCATTATAGCTTTTGAGTGGGGTTGTGTTTATTAGCTACAGTAACATAATGATTATTTCCAACATTTAGGTTTAAAAACCAAGCATTTGTCAATTTCTGCAGGTAAGGAGTGCAGGCGAGGTTAGCCAGTCCTCTGGTTTTAGGATTTCACACAAAGCTTCAATTGAGACTCATAGCCATTGACTGCAAGTGGGATCCTAAAGCTGCCTGGGGGAGGATCTGCTCCTGAGCTTCAAGGGGTTGGAGGAGGATTCAGTTCTTTAGGTGCTGGAGGACCAAGGGTCTCCGTTCTTTGATGGCTGTCTAAAGATTCTCTTTCAGTTCTTTGCCACTTGGACTTTACCACAGGGCAGCTCACAGCCTGACAGGGGGCTCCCATCAGATTGTGAATGGAAGAAAGGGTGAGAAAGAGAAGTCAGAATCTTTTTATAATCAAATCCAAGAAATAATACCTTAATACTTTGAGGCTTGTGGCACATTCATTCTGGCTTTCATTTGCCTTTCCATTATCATTAGTGATATTGAGGGTTTTAAAATGTACTTTGTAGCCATTTGTATAAAATACTGGCATACATTTTCCCCCTAGTACAGGGGAAATTACTTTCCCTTCCTTAACAGTGCTCTTGGAAGTGCAGAAAGTCTTTTAACTTTTCTGATTCCAAGTGGATTGGCCTTTTTCTCCAATGAACCATAACTATGGCATTGTATATAAGAAGATATTGCCTAACCCAAGGTCACAGATACAGTCCTCTGATTTGAATTCAGGGCCTGTCACTTTCTAGGCTGGCTCTCTCCCAATTGAGCCATGCCGCTAGCCCAGACTTTTGCTAGTTTTTTGTTGTTGTTGTTGGTCATGGGGCTTGAACTCTGAACCTGGGCGCTTTCTTTGAGCTCTTCAGCTCAAGGCTAGCAGTCTACCACTTGAGCCACAGCGCCACTTCTGGTTTTTCTGAGTGGTTTATTTAAGAGTCTCATGAATTTTTCCCACCTGGGCTGGCTTAAAACCATGATCCTCAGATCTCAGCCTCCTGAGTAGCTAGGATTACACGTGTAAGCCATCAGTGCCTGGTATGCTAGGTTTTTTTGGTTGTTGTTGTTTGTTTGTTTGTTTTTGTCAGTTGTGGGGCTTAAACTCTGGGCCTCGGCACTGTCCCTCAGCTATTCAGTTCAAGGCGAGCGCCCTACTGCTTGAGCCCAGCGCCACTTCCAGTTTTCTAGTGGTTTATTGGAGAAAAGAGTCTCACAGACTTTCCTGCCTCAGCTGTCTTTGAACTGCGATCCTCAGATCTCAGCCTCCTGAGTAGGTAGGATTACAGGCGTGAGCCACCAGCACCTGGCTGCTAGTTATTTTTGAGATAGGTTCTCTCAAATTTTTCAGCATAGGCTAGCTTCAAATTCCAATCCCTTTACTTTCAGACTTCCATGTAGCTAGGATTGTAAAGGATTGTAGGTTATGAGCCACCAGAGAGCACTGCTCTGCTGACGTTTTTGACATTTGAAAAATGTATTGATAGATCACCACATGCGAGGCCATTTCAATAACATGAATTTAGTCTTACAGTTGTGCGCTAGATGTTTGGTAGAGCCTTCATTGACACAAAACCTTTCTGTTGACTGATAGACTCTTTCTTGAATCTTCCATGGAGAACCTATTCTCTGCCTATTTGGTTGTTAGTAGAAGTGAGTACCTTGCATTGTGGAGTCTGCTTCGTGTTCTTGAGGTGTGGAATCTGAAGGTGGTTCCTGGCTTTAGAGGTCACCACACACCTTGGTTCTTGATTGTATCTGCCATGTTAAAAGCTATGCTGTTGCCAGAGGAGGATTCCTTCTTCTATTGTACCTATCTAGAGCTACTTGTTGGATCTCTGTTGTCACATTTGTGATTAGATTGGGCCACTCAGCTCATATAGGGTCATCTTCCTATCTCAAAGTATTTCATCTTAAACTCACCTACAAATTTCCTTTGTCACAGAAGTTTTATGTATTCATAGGTTCTGTGGTTAGGAAATAGACATTTAAAGGGTAACATACTTACTGTCACTAAAATATTTTTCCTACTCTGTGGATCTTCATTTCCTTTCCTTAACAGTGCTCTTGGATGTACAAAAGTCTTTTAACTTTTCTCTTTCCAAGTTTATTGTCTTCCAATGAACCATAACTATAGCATTGCATGTAAGAAGATATTGCCTAAACTAAGTTTACAGATACAGTCCTCTGTTTATTTCTAGAAATTTTATAGTTTTAGATATTTAATTGTTTTATGATCTATTTTGAATTAGTTATCATATATGGTGCTAGTTAAGGATCTAAAGTGTTGTTGTTTTTTATGGTCTGAGACTGGAACTGGAACTTGGTACCTGATATTTCCACTCATTGGGTAGCACTCTACAAAATGATCCATGCCTCCAACCCAGGATCTAATAATTTATATATGTATTTTTTTATTTATTTCATGTGGATGTTCAAATACAGCCTGACCCCATTTTCTCACAAGTCTCTTCTTTCTCTTATTGTCATGATATCCTGCTGTGTTGGAGATCAGTTAGCCATTGAAAAAATAATTTGAAAAATTATTGGAAGTACTGGAAAAATTTACTGTTAAAATTTTCTTCCACTGATGATGTTTGCTTACCTTTCTGTCAGTATGGCACTGTATTCCTTTCTAAGATGTTAAAAGTTTTTATTTCTCTTAGGAAAGAGTTAACACTATTTTGAATTAAAATATTAAGTTAAAAACTGCTTTCTTGCTGGGTGGCTCATGCCTATAATCCTAGCTACTCAGGAGGCTGAGATCTGAGGACCATAGTTCAAAGGCAGCCTGGATAGGAAAGGCCGTGAAACTCTTACCTCCAATAAACCACCAGAAAACTAGAAGTGGTGCTGTGGCTCAAGCAGTAGAGCGCTAGCCTAGAGCTCAACTGCAGAGGGACAGTACCCAGGTCCAGAGTTCAAGCCCCATGAACAACAAAACAACAACAACGAAAAAACTGCTTTACTTAATCTTCTTGACAGATTAATAGTTCATTGTTTATGAAATCCTTCTTAGCAATGTAATAAAATGAGAATTTGAATTTTATGCTTGAATTAGGAGAGTTAGATTGCTTTGACTTTGTTAATACTATCTTTCAGGTTAAGGTAAAAGATGTTCAAAATGTTGATAATAATTTTCTATTAAATATCTGCTACTTTAAATATCTTGGTATATTTAATTGGAACCATTTACTAGTTATTACTTATTACTATAATATAATCCATTCCCCTTAGTGCAAGTACCACTTGCAAAGTTCTGCTTTTTCTTTTCCCTTCCAGATAAACCTGTGGAACCACGCAGAATCTTGAACAAGACAGTTCCGAGCTTGCCCAACATGGACGCCATTTTCACTGAGGCCTTTGCCAAGATGCGGAAGCAGTACCCTGGCATTCTCGCTCCGGAGACCTGTGTCCATGCAGTGCAGGCCTCTGTGAAGTATCCCTATGAAGTGGGCATCAAGGAGGAAGAAAAGTTGTTTCAGTACCTTTTTCAGTCAGGGCAAGCTACAGCCCTGCAGTATGCTTTCTCTGCAGAAAGGAGTATAGATAAGGCATCAATCCCCTCTGTCACATCCTGGAAAACAGCTTCAGGGAGACCCATCTCTTCAGTTGGTGTTCTTGGTAAGTGCCTGGGAGTGTTCGTGGGACTCACCACGTTTTACATGTGTATGCTACCATTTGCTTGGGCCCGTCTGATGTGAGGTTCACCATATTTTCATCTGCCAATCCAAGTGCATTGATCATAAGCTGTCTTGGTTCTCTTAATTCTCACCCCTTACCATGAACTCTATTTGGTTTACATGGGAGGGCTAGAGATACTAAGCTTTTCCGCAATGAGCTAACCTTTAGTGGTGTGAGGGACAGTCCCTAAGTGCATATGACTCCTACTGGACTTGTTTTCAATCTTTCCTGCCATTTCCCTGAATGAGTCTCTCACCCCAGTGTTTTCCAACAGGGATTGTTATCTGGACCACATTTCAGGATGTAGGTTGTCACTCTTGTAGCTAGGTCGAAATGAATTCTGTGTTTTTGGTGACTTCGGAGCATGGTCAAGACCCAGGTCAAGACCACAATGATTATTTGATGCAGCCTTCTGCTGCTCCTGTGTACCCTTAAAAATGCTACAACATCTTTTTGATTACATTCAGTAAGCATTTTTTAAATTTTATTTTATTTTATTGTTGAATTCTGGGCCTGGGTGCTGTCCCTGAGCTCTCAAGGCTAGCCCTCTACCACTTGAGCTACAGTGCCACTTCTGGTTTTCTAGTGGTTAATTGGAGATAAGAGTCTCATGGACTTTCTTACCCTGGGCTAGCTTTGAACTGAGATCTTCAGGTCTCAGCCTCCTGAGTAGCTAGGATTACAGGCAGAGCCACCGGCACCCAGCTCTTTTTTTTTTTTTTTGTAAGTCATGGGGCTTGAACTCTGGGCCTGGACACTGTCCCTCAACTCTTCAGCTCAAGGCTAGCTCCCTACCACTTGAGCCACAGTGCCACTTCCAGGTTTTTTCTGCTTATGGATACTGAGGAATCGAACCCAGGGCCTCATGCATGTGAAGCAGGCACTCTATCACTGAGCCAACTTCTCAGCCCTGCATTTTTTTTAGTTATTTGAGACAATTTTTATTTGTAATATGAAGGAGAAAATACTAAGTTCCAACCAGGAAAATATAGCTAAAAGTCAATAAATATAGTAGGAAAAGTAAAATTTAGACATACAGAAAAATATCAGTGAAGAGTAATTTTAAGGAATATTCATTAAGGAGATCTCCATCATTTCATTTGCTGAACTTTGAGGTATTTAATCCATTACACTGATTTTCCTGGTGACATCTCTAACATTAGAAATCATACAAAGCCAGAAGAAAGAGTTAAGAGCAGTAGCATAAAGGCATAGAGATTTTATGGAGTAAGAGATTATACCTTGTTGGAATATGGGTCATTATTCAGTAAACATAAATATATATTACCTTTTCTTACTAAAATATTAGGGCAGGCAAGGATTACCTATTACAACACCTCTTACAACTCTTAGAACAATGCTTGGTAATTTAAAAAATAGTACTAACTCTTCTTAATATATAAAAGTTCCTTCTTCTGTTATTATAAATATATTTTTTAATATTTTTAAAAATACAGGATTATATTTATTCATGTTAAAAAAAAGTGAGTTCCAAAATAAGTTTCAATTGGCATAAAAGCAATATATTTGCTAGGTGATTTAAAATGTTATCCAAAACATAAAACTGAATATCTGAAATTCTCTCAAGTAACATTATTAAAATTAAGGCATTGATAGTCAGTTTTATGAGTTGAAAATTATATCTAAAATAAAGCCAAACCTCTAATATATACAGAACATCCATTTTCATAAAAGAGCCTGAGTGTAAATCAGTAATCTCTTGATCTTCAAGACTCCATTAGCATCTGTCAGTCTTGTTTAGGAATGCGTAGAGACCTGATTTTAGTAGTTGAACATCTTTAATGGTTGCAGTAGATTACATACCTCAGCTTTTCAGTGGGCATTTTAAAATGACTGTTAGCATTCATCCAGTGGTGATTTTTGAGTTCGCGGTACCACTGAGTCATTCTCTTCATTCCTAATCCACAGGTTTGGGAACAATGGGTCGAGGTATTACCAGTTGCTTTGTAATAGCCCAGATCCCTGTGATTGCTGTAGAATCAGACCAAAAGCAACTAGAAGCTGCAAAGAAGGCAATAGCTTCCATCTTGCAAAATCAAGCATCCACATTGCAGCAGAGTGGCAAAGCTTGGTCAGCACCAAAACTCACCTTCACTTCCTCTATAAAGGAGCTGGCTGGTGTGGATTTAGTCGTGGAGGCAGTATTTGAGGACATGAACCTGAAGAAGCAGGTCTTTGCGGAACTGTCAGCTGTGTGCAAGCCTGAAGCACTTCTGTGCACCAATACTTCAGTCCTGGATGTGGACGAGATTGCTTCTGCCACAGATCGTCCACAGTTGGTGATTGGCACCCACTTCTTTACACCAGCTCATATGATGAGGTTGTTGGAGGTTATTCCCAGTCGCTACTCTTCCTCTACCACTATTGCCACTGTTATGGATCTATCAAAAAAGATTAAGAAGATTGGGGTAGTTGTAGGCAACTGTTATGGTTTTGTTGGAAACAGAATGTTGGCTCCGTTTTTCGACCAGGCATATTTCTTGTTAGAAGATGGAAGTAAGCCAGAGGACATAGACGGAGTGCTAGAAGAGTTTGGTTTTAATATAGGGCCCTTTAAAATGGGTGACCTTGCGGGGTTGGATGTGGGCTGGAAAGTTCGCAAAGGACAAGGGCTCACTGGACCTGCATTGCCTCCAGGGACCCCTGCCCGCAAGAGGGGCAATGCAAGATACTGCCCAATTGCTGATATGCTGTGTGAATCAGGAAGATTTGGCCGGAAGACAGGCAAGGGCTGGTATCTCTATGACAAGCCACTAGGTAGGATTCGTAAACCTGATCCCTGGCTTTCCAAGTTTCTGTCTCAGTACAGAGAAACCTATCACATTGAGCCACGTGTGATTAGGCAGGATGAGATCCTTGAGCGCTGCTTGTATGTGCTGATCAATGAAGCCTTCCGTATCTTGGGAGAAGGCATGGCTGCCAGCCCAGAGCACATCGATGTTATCTACTTGCATGGGTATGGGTGGCCAAGGCACCGGGGTGGACCCATGTACTATGCTTCCACGGTGGGACTGCCCACAGTTCTAGAGAAGTTGCAGAAGTATCACAGGCAGAACCCTGATATTCCCCAGCTGGAGCCCAGCGACTACCTAAGAAAGCTGGCTGCCCAGGGAAACCCTCCTCTGAAAGAATGGCAAAGCTTAGCAGGGCCTCCCAGCAGCAAACTGTGATTGAGCCAGTGGTTTGCGCTCACATGCTGGCTTCCAGGAAAACTCAGTTTCAGTGAGATGAAATCTCAGGATCCAAAGTAAGAATGCTCTGAAATATGAAGATAATCAGCAATAATAATATAATCATTCATTAAAGCTCCTTTGGATTTCTTCCTGATGATTATGGTGGGTACAATGTGATGAAATGTGCTTCCTATCCTCTTAATGTGCTCATGTCAGATAACTTTAAGGACTAAACTCATGTGCATACAATAGCACATTATTTCATAAGAGAGCTTGAAGAAGAAGTACACTGGTGAATGGGAAAATGAATAATCAATTAATAGATGATCAATTTGACTAAGTTATAAAATCATTTTGACCCCTAGATCCTCAGGATAGAGAAGTCTTTGGAGCCACATTCATGCACACCCTCTGAGCACTCCTGACACAACCAGAGTCCACAGAGGCATTTGTCCAACATGAAAGCAGCAGTGTTGTGTCCAGTGGAGATGGCTGTCAGCAGCAGTCAGCAGTGAGGGTCTGCCTGAGGGCATGGAAGGCTGCCCAAAGACAGGTTGAAACCTGAAAAGGTGAAAGAGGAATTGGTGAGGCATTCAGAGACTTCAGGCCAAAGTGCAACTCAAGAGGAGCTTGACTGCCCGTGTGGCACACATCTTCTGTCTAAGGCCAAAGCATATGTGTGCAGTTGTGCTTCTGCTTGCTGGCTTCTTGGTAATAGTTCTTGCTCCATGTTCCCAGTCAGGGAATGTTCACCACCAGCCCTAGTCTTTATGGTCATTACTTTTCATTACCGGTCAAAGGGAAGGAATACAAAGTAGTATTCACTTTGTGTAGAAAGGGACTTAGAGAATGTCTAGTCTTCGAGGATTTCTAAATTCTGCGATGGAGTAGAGGTGCCTGTTTCTTGGTCATGACAAGCCTTGGTGAGTTGGTGTGTGGAAGTGCTTGAATCTTGAAACATCTGAGATGATTACAAAGCAGATACTGCAGAGTTTATGTCTTTTACTAAAAGTTTCTCTTTTGGATTTTTCCAATGTGATTAAAAGTTAGTGGACTGGTCAATAGGAAAACTTGCATCCTCAAATGTTAATAGCAGAATTACAGTAGTCTGAAATTGGAAACATCACAATTATGTATTAACTGATTAGTTGATAAATAATGAGTTATATCCACATAGTGGAAACTTATTTAGTCATGAAGTACTGCTGTACGCTATTTGATAATCCTAGAAAACATTATGTTAAGTGAAAGTATTCACTCAACACATATTTATAGCCCTTTATGTGAAATGTTCAGAGGAGATAAATCTGTAAGTAGCAAATGGTATATTTGTTACTACCTGGGACTAGAATTTTGTGGAAAAATTGAATTGAGAGTGACTGCTAAAGGGTATAGAATTTCTTTTGGGTTTTATGAAAATGTTCTGCTGTGGTTGTGGTCATGATTGTATACATAGCATATACAAATAAAACTCTTAATTTTGTATAATTTAAGGGGGTGAATTATTTGGTGTTTGAATTATATGTGAATAAAATTATTAGTAAAACATGAATGATGCTAATGTTGTTGTTGTCGTCTTTCATTTTCTTGGAAATAAACTTTTCATAATATTTTCACCTATAAATCCAAAGAAAGTGGTCAAAAGTTCTAGTAGAGGCTGGTATAGTGGGAGGTGCCTTTAATTGAAGCTATTTGGGAGGCTGAAAGAGCAGGTTAACCTGATTCTGGGAATTCCTAGCCAACCCAACAACAGAGCACGACCCACTCCCTTTTCAAACAAAATAGGCTTATTGAGAAATTTTGAATTTTTAGTAAATTTCCATCATAAGAAATACCTAAAACCAAAGAGTAAGTCCATGAATATATTGGAATTCAATATTTGAACTTTTGACCTATATACACTAGATTAAAAAATATTTTTATAAACTAAAAACATCATCGGGTGTTAGATGCTGATGGTTCAGGCCTGTAATCCTATTTACTAAGGAGGCTGAGATCTGATGAACGCAGTTCAAAGACAGCCCAGGCAGAAAAGTCCCTGTGAGACTCCTATCTGCAATTAGCCACTCAAAAACTGAAAGTGGGGCTGGCATGTGGCTTATTGTCAGATTGCTTGCCTAGCATGATGAAGCCCCAGGTTCAATTCCCCAGCACCACATAAACAGAAAAAGCCAGAAGTGGGGCTGTGGCTCAAGTGATAAGAGTGCTCGCCTTGAACTGAAGAGCTCAGGGACAGCTCCTGTGACTGTCTAAAACAAAACAAAAACCAAAAAACAAAGTGGTGCTGTGACGTAAGTGGTGGGGTGTGAGGCTTGAGCGGTAAGAGGCTCAGAGACAGTGCCCAGGCCCTGAGTTCAAGCCCCACAGCTGACAAAAAGAAAAAAAGAAAGCAAGAAGGAAGGAAAAAAAGAAGGAATGGAAAGAAAGAAAGAAGAAAGAAAAATCATTGGGTACCGCTGACTCAAGCCTTTAATTCTATCTACTCAAGAAGCTGAGATCTGAGGATCACTATTCGAAGCCAACCCAAGGTAGGAGAATTCATGAGACTCTTTATCTGTAACCACACACACAGCTGGAAGCAAAGCTTTGGCTTAAGTGATAGAGTGCTATCCTAGAACAAAATTATCTCAGGGACATCACCCAGGCCCTGTGTTTAAGCTGTAGAACTATCACTCAGAAAAATAAAAAAAAGTATGAATGAAACAGTTTGTACCAATGACTGTTAAATGGTCAAGCAGTCTATAAACAGCAGCTTGGTTACACCTGAAAAATTAGCTTTTCACACTTTCATAGACTCAGCAATTAAGAAACCCACACAAATGTAAGTAGTTTATTATTTACACAGCTTAAAACATCAACTCCCTGTATTACTAGTCACATGGCATGATAGTTAACAGTTAACAGAGGGACTAAGAGATGTCATAATGATGACAGAATGTGAGCCAGTGGCTCACGTGTATAATCCTAGCTACTCATGAGGCTGAGATCTGAGGATCATGATTTGAAGCTAACCTGGGCAGGAAAGTCTATAAGACTCATCTCCAGTTAACCATCAGAAAACCAGACATGGCACTGTGGCTCAAAATGGTAGAGCACTAGCCTTGAGACTAGCTTAGAGACAGCACCCAGGCTCTCTCAGTTCAAGCCACACAACTGACATAAAAAGGTAAAGGGCCAGCATTGAGTACAGTTGAGAATGAATGCTCCCTTAAATGGTGTCCCCTGAGCGTTTCACTTGCTTGCCCTTAGTCCCTGCTCTGTTGAAGTGCTATGTTAAACACAAGTAGTGAAGGCAGAAAGTTCTGTGTTCAACTGAAAATAGGGACATAGGTTAAGAAATGGCTTATAATAGACTCCTATAAGAAAATGCAGTAAGAAGACACAAAACTGTGCTGATCTCCCCCTCTACTCCAGTAAGACTCTCAGAGCTGTTTGTTGATATTTGCCTACTTTATAGTAGCAGTGTTCAAGCTCTAGGACAGCTAGTCAGAGGTGTTTCACTTACAGACTTCTATCTGAAGAGAGAGAATGTTAAAGTTACTGCTTCCTATTGGAAGTGAGGCTAGACTGGCTGTGCTGAGCCTGTGCAAACAAAACAGACTTGATCTTGCGGACTTTTGAGTCAAGGTTCAGTTCACAGATTAGCAGTTTTCAGAGGACATAAATAGAAAGTAGCTGATGATCCCATAAGGTGGTGTAAGTTGTTGGTACTGAGATATTGCTGATGGGTTGACCTTGACACCATGGCTTTGATCATTGAGTCATTTCTCCATGCTGTCTTGAATTGGTTCTGTCTGTGTAGTGCTAGTCATGAGAATTTATTATTTTTTTTAACTAATCCCAAGAGACAAGAAAATCTGCATAAAAATTTCTTAATGCCAGGTGCTGGTGGCTCACATCTGTAATCCTAGCTACTAAGGAGGCTGAGATCTGAGGATCACAGTTGAACCAGCCCGGGCAGGAAAGTCCATGAGACTCTTATCTCCAATTAACCACCAGAAAACTGGAAGTGGTGCTGTGGCTCAAGTGGTAGAGTGTTTGCCTTGAGTTGAAGAGCTGAAGGACAGCACCTAGGCCCAGAGTTCAAGACCCATGACTGACATAAATAAAAATAAAAATTCTTAATAACTGATCAAATTTATGAACGTCAGTTAAGAAAATTTTTACTTTTTTTCTTTTGAAACTGGTTCTCATTGTTTCTTTCTGGTTATCCTTTGCCTGTATAACCCAGGATAGCTTTGAACTCTTGGTCCTGCCTCAGTCAGAGTGCTGGGATTACAAGCATGTGCTACCCTGTCAGTCTTCTAGATTGCCATTGGATGAACTGTAGGGACCATGGGAAGCCCAAAACATTTAGAGTGAACTTTTGGGAGGAAGAGCTTGGTATTGTCTTTAGTCTCCAGCCAGGTCAAGTACATAATCAATAGATGCTTACTTAGCTCATGGGCAAATAGATGAAGTATTAGCAATCCCCATTTCTTGGGAAAGGCAGGGAGAAAATAAGGATTGGGCAAATATGGGTTCACAGGTTTCACTAGGTGGCAGTGTTGTGTAAGCATTGGGTGATGGCTTTTGTAAATAGCCTAAGTACCAGCATTTGAGTGAAATGAATGATGTGTGTGGTTCATGAGTTCTAGACAGGCCTCAGGGCACATATAGTTGTTAGGGCCCCAGGTAACTGTCCCTGTTCATGGTGTTATAAATATACTGTCTGAGAACTACCAGAGTCACAATGCTTGACTTGAAAAGGCAAAATTTACTTATGCAGAAGGATGTGTCACCAGCCAAAAATCTTGCCAGCTACCACACAGCTGGCAGACGGCTTCCTATTTATCCCAAACGCAGCAAGCTCTGCCCCTCTGCTCAGATTGATTAGTCTGCACAGTGTGAGAGAGATGTATTAACATAATGTTACCATTAAAAGACTGAAATAAGGTGAACAAATAGCAGGTGATCTCAAAACATACAGCCTCTGCTGTTTCTTGAACTATCTGAGGTATTTCTACAGAGGTATGTCCTGTTTCTTTTTTTTTTCTTTTTTCTTTTTGTCGGTTGTCAGGGCTGAGCTCTGGGCCTGGGTGCTGTCCCTCAGCTCTTCAGCTCAAGGCTAGCGCTCTACCACTTGAGCCACAGCACCATTTCCGGCTTTTTTCTGCTTATGTGGTGCTGAGGAATCAAACCCAGGGCCTCATGCATGTGAGGCACTCTTCCACTGAGCCACCTTCTCAGCCCCTATTTCTGTCTTGAACAACCAGTTCTGATTGTTAGACTCCAGCAAGCTGAAACAGAAGAGTGCCACACACTGAGAAATTTGATGGTCCATTATTGAAGCCAGCAGTGGAGAATGGGTATTGCCAAAGATCTCTCGGGCCCCAGGGGAAGTTAAGAGGGGGTTTTTAAAGGCAGAAACTGCAAACTTGACATATGTTTAATTAGTACCAGGGAGATTAAGTACTGACAACTTGGACTCATAAGAGATGGCTGTACTTCTCTCTTAAACAAAAGTGACTGGGAGGGGTTCAGGACCTAGGCAAATTGTAAAACAGGACATCACAGTTTAACTATTTGCTCCAGGGGTGGATTTACTCCTTAAATACAGATTTTCTCATGAAATTGCATGGCCCTTTGCTGTACAACTGGGGTCAGGCTAGGCTAGGTAGTTCAAGACCAAACCTTACATTGAAAAAATGTTCTTTATTCCAAATCATTTCCTCTTTTCCTTCCATTACTTGGTGACATTGTCTTGAGAAATAATCAACAAGAACCAAGCCATCTGGCCAAGCAAGAACTTTTAAGCAACCCACTGTTAGTATTATCCCCACTTGGGTCCTCAGCTCCACCCAGACCTGGGCTCCTCCCTGTTCTAGAGTGCCCACCATACAGCTGGCCAGACCCCACACCCACCTGCACACACATTTATCTCACTTCCACCCTCACTCCCCCCCCCACACATACACCAACTTGAGATTGGGATGGGGGCGGATGCCATGTGCTCCCTCTCTTGGGGAGATAAGGCCTTCTAATAAACCTTATAATCTTTCTCCTGTGCTGCCTGCCCCCTGCCTCTGGGATGGTCGTGAAGGATTCCTACACCCATTTTGACAGAGAAGCCCACTTTTCTCACAATTGGGACCTTGATGAATACTGAGATGAGTACAGCTGGTCTCACAATGAACCCAGAACTTGTGCTCGGAAGCCCTCAGATTGTTCAAGAAATAGCTGAGGTTGTGGGTGTATTTCAAAGTCTTTTAGCGGTCACTTCATGCAAATGAAGCTAACCCTATTCATGCAATCCAACAAAGCCTTAGGACATTGGAGTGCTGCCAAACCTCTGTCCAGCTTCCTGGTAGTTCGTGGACCGGGGCAGGAAGGGCAGCAGGTGGGAGGCAGTGCCTGGCCCTCTTTGACCAAATAAGATCATCCCTCTTGGGAGCTGGCCCAGGGCTCGGAGAAAACTGACTACCTGATTGCAAAAGATAGCAGCAACCACAGCAACTGACAAAACTTCAATGACAGAGGAAAATGGCTGAGTACTTGAGGCTGCCCCACTCC